CTTCTGTTGAGATAATGCCTTGAAAACCCAAGGAGGGGTCGCTATGAGTCAGGACCAACTTGACGGCAGTGAGTTTGTTTTTTTTGTTTTTGTTTTTTTTCTTCTTCTCTTTTTTGGTTCTGGTTTTACTAAAGAAGAACAAGTAAGAGACTTCACACTCCCTGATCTCAAAACCTACTATACAACCACAGTAATCAAAACAGCCTTCTTTTGGTACAATGACAGATGCATAGACCAATGGAACAGAATTGAGAACTCAGAAGTAAATCTCTTTACCAGTGGAGAGCTGATCTTTGACAAAGGGCCAGAACTCATTAAACGGGGAAGATATGGTCTTTCTAGTAAACGGTGTTGGCAAAACTGGATATCCATTTGCAGGAAAATGAAACAGGATCCATATCTCTCACCATATATAAAAACTAACTCAAGATGGGGCAAAGACTTAATGTAAAACCATAAAAATCATTAAAGAAGAAATTGAGGCAAACTTATGGGCCTTAATATATGACATAAATACACTGTCAAACATAACTAAGAGTATGCAAACAGCAGAAGACAAACTAGATGACTGGGACTTCCTGAAAAGTAAACACTTATACACATCAAAAAGCTTTGGCAAAGGAGCAAAAAGAGAAATTACAGACTAAGAAAAATTTCTGGCAATGATATTGCAGATGAGGGACCAATCTCTAAAATTTAGAGAAAGCTTCAACATCTCAACAACAAGAGAACAAGCAATCCAATTAAAAAATGGGCAGAGGACATGGACAGGCACTTCCCTAAAAAAGACATTCATGTGACCAACAAACACATGAAGAAATTCACACAATGATTAGCCGTTAGAGAAATGGAAATCAAAATAACAATGAGTTATCATGTTACCCAGCATTAAGGGCAAAGTTAAAAAAAAAATGCTTATGAGGCTGTACTGAGATAGGAACCCTCATGCACTGCTGGTTGGGCTATAAAATGGTATAACCTTTGTGGAAAATGATAATGGCATTTCCTTTAAAGGATAGAAATAGAAAGACCATATGGTCCAGCATGCCTACCACTTGGTATATATCCTAGAGAAATAAGAGCCATGACACAAACAGGTATATGCACATCCTTGTTCACCACAGCATTATTCACAATAGCAAAGAGATGGAAACAGCCTAAGTGCCCATCAGTGGACAAATAGATAAACTGTTGTCCATACACACATCAGAATATTATGCAACGTTGAAAAGTCACAATGAATCTGTGAAACCTCTTATAATATGGATGAATCTAAAAGACGTTATGCTGATTAAAATTAGTCAATCACAGAAGGACAAATATTTTATGAAACCATTACTGTAAAAGTCAGGGAAAAGATTATACACAGAATCATTATTTGAAGGCTATTGTGGTGGTTATGTTTGTGTGTCAACTTGGCTGGGCCTGGTTGAGTGGCTGGGCAGCTGGTGGTAGTTATTCCCCATGATGAGACTGGCAATCAACTCCATGGTGGGATCTACCAAAAGCACCTGAGTAGCTGCCTTTGGGATATGGTCTGCTTCCATATCCCAAAGAATATTCTTCTCTTAAGGAGAAGCTTTGAGAATGGTCTCTAGTCTTTGCACGCTTGGACCCTGCCTGTAGCCATGTTGTTGGTCAGCAGCCTGCCATGCTCTGCCGACTTTGGGACTTACAATGGACTTAAGCTAATGGCCTGCTGTATAGTCTGGTAACATCGGGACTGTGCCTTTTTACTTGTCAACCTTGGGGCTTCCAGCCTTAGCAGCCAGCAGTTGTTTGAGTGAAAAAACGCCTGTAGCTCCAGTGGGGTGGGAGCAGGAGGCAGAGCTGGACCCCAAGGTTGAGGGGCTTTCACCCAGCCCCTTAGAGCCTGGCACTTTGAACTTGGACTTAAAGCCTCCAAATTGTAAGAATAAACTCCTGTTTGTTAAGGCCATCTCATTTGTGGTATATTCTTGTCAGAGTGGCACTGGGTAACCAGAACAGAATTTGGTACTGGGAGAGTGGGGTGCTGCTCTGACAGATACCTAAAATGTGGAAACAGGAGTGGAGTGCATCCTTGACCCGAGACCCTGGCAGAGAGACTCTGGCATATGGCATGACAGATGGCAGGAGTAGAGCAAGAGACCAGCATGAGAGGCGGCAGGAGCAGAGCTGAGAGAACCAGCATGAGACAGCGACAGCCTTACCAACCCACGGAGGAGAAAGCTTGATGCCTTTGGTTAGGTGGCTTACTGGCAGAGTGGGTTGCCCTTGGGCATTAATTGGTAGAAAAGATTGGCATGGAATGGAGTAGCAGGTTGGCTGGCCCATGGAACAAAAAAGCCAAGTGCTTTTTGGGCAGGGTTTTTCAGCGGAGTGGGTTGCCTTTGCCATTAATCGGCAGAAGCAGAGAGACCAAGGAAACGAAAGCAGAGCTGCCTCAGCCTGAGAGGTTAGGACCATGACCTTTGGGGGTGGAATGATCACAGCCCCCTAGGTTTCAAAGAACCAGCCCTTCACTGTCTTGGTTCTGGAGCGTGGGGCTGCTCATTCATGTGAGCCAGTGGGATGGAGTCATAGCCGCTGCCCAAGAGTGAGAGGGCGGGGCTGCCATGCCCAAGAGGGAGAGAAATGAGGTCTGCCAGGCCAAGGGGATGAGGTCGCCATTCAGGAACTAGGGGACTGGAGCCACCCAGCAGAGGAGACCTGTACAGGTACCACCCATTGAAGATCTGTACAGGTGCCAAGTTGACAAGGGGCGGAATTGTGGTAGTTGGGTTTGTGTGTCAACTTGACTGGGCCTGGTTGAGTGGCTAGGCAGCTGGTGGTAGTTATTCCCCACGATGAGACTGGCAATCACCTCCATGGTGAGATCTACCACAAGCAGCTGAAAGCTGCCTTTGGGATATGGTCTGCTTCCTGTATTTAAGGAGAAGCTTTGAGAATGGTCTCTAGCCTTTGGCACGTGTAGACCCTGCACGTAGCCATGTCATTGCTCAGCAGCCTGCCATGCTCTGCTGACCTTGGGACTTACAGTGGACTTAAGCTAATGGCCTGCCATGTGGTCTCGTAACATCGGGACTGTGCCTTTTTACTTGTCAACCTTCGGGCTTCCAGCCTCAGCAGCCAGCAGCTGTTTGAGTGAAGAAATGCCTGTAGCTCCAGTGGGCCAGGAGCAGGAGGCAGAGCTGGACCCCAAGGTTGAGGGGCTTTTCACCCAGCTCCTAGAGCTTTGAACTTGGACTTAAGCCTCCAAATTGTAAGAATAAACTCCTATTTGTTAAGGCCATCCCATTTGTGGTATATTCTTGTCAGAGCGGCACTGGGTAACAAGAACAGCTATCAAGGGTAGGAGGGAAAAGAAAGGCAAATGGCAAATCACTAACTAGAGGGAAGAGGCATATTAACGTGGGTGAAGGGAATACAAATATTACATAATGGGGAAGGCAGCACCAGATGATGAAGGCAAAGGAAGACTCAGGGACGAGTGTAAGAGTTAAAGGCCACAAAGGTAAATACTATTACATACACAATCCTACAGTAACAGTAGTAACAATAATCTGTGAGTAGATACATAGACACTGAAGCTGAACAGGCGTAGAAGGAGATTAGGAGTATACCCATGAATATATATAGGTTTAACAGAGACTTTTTCTACACATATATTTATATGTGCTGCAAATATGTCCATAAATATAGTAGAGCATGCAGGAAGCAAAGTTATTAAAACTTCTCAGTCATTACCAAACACTTTGGGCATGAGAGCTCAGCACTATAGTCTCACGGGAACACTAAGGTCTGGTGGCATAACATAGTCCACAGAAACAATGTTTTACATCCTACTTTGGTGAGTACTGACTAGGATCTTAAAAGCTTGTGAGCAGCCATCTAAGGTACAACTATTGGTCTCTCCTCATCCAGAGCAAAGAAAAGTGAAAAAAATCAAAGATGTAAAGAAACAGTTGGAAATCTTCACCCACATCCTAATAAAAAAAAAAAAAAAGAAAAGAAACAGTTGGGACTGATGGGCCATATGAACCCCAGCCTCTGTGACCTTGAAACCAAAAGAACTAGATGCTGCCCAGCTGCCACTGTTGACTGCTCTGAAAGGAATTCCAATAGGAGGTTCTGGATAGAGTGGGAGAAAATTACGGAACAAAAATCAAAATAATAAAGAAGAGCAAGCTTACTGGTCTGATAGAGACTGGTGGAATCCCTGAAACTATAGCCCTTACATGCACTTCAGGTCAGGAGCTAAACTCACCCCTGTGGCTCAACTTTGAGCCAAATGACAGACTGATATATAAGTAATACCAGGAAGTTATGAACTCATTATAACAATCAACCATTTGGGATCAAAAGGGCAGCATTTGCCCATGGGTAAAGCTAAGAAGGCAAGAAGATGTGAAGGGAAATGGTACCTATAGAGAGGAAAAGGGAAGAGTACTATTACATTCGGGGGAGTGTAGTGAATGTCACAGAACAAAACGTGTGTGATTCTTGAATGGAAAACCAATTTGCTCTGTAAACTTTTACCCAAATCACAATTAAAAAAAAACTTTGCTAACAAAGTGAAAAGACAAGCTGCTGTCGGGGTGAGTATCTGCTGATGTACATCCAAACACTTCATGGGATTTGGTCCCTTGATTTAGAGGTTAATGGGGAGGAACAACTCAGAAAAGGAGGATAAGAATGGTTGCACAACTCAAAGAATGTAGTCAGTTTCTCTGAATTGGACACGGAGAAACTGTTGAATTGGTGTATGTTTTGCTATGTATATTCTCAACCCACAACAGAATTAATGAAATTTTTTTAAAAAATTGACTGAGGTCCCAGATTACTCTTGGGCCTCAGCATCTAATTCTCTGAACCTCTCTTTGCAGTTTGAGATTTCACTGTCTCAGGAAAAATGTCTATCCTCTAAACTGTATTATATATGTGCTTTCTAGACTGTATATTTTAGACCACTCTTTTAGAAGGATATATACACTGACATGTCTCTTTCATCCTAACAGATATATTGGAAGGTCTCAGAAGACAAAAAAGCAAAATGTGCTGAAAAGGGAAAATCAAAACAGGTGATTCCTGTTGCAAATTGAAGCAAACAAGTATTTCTCTTTTAATCTTCTGGGTTCTACTCTTTTTTGAAATGTAGGCCAGACATTTTGTTTAAGAATTCTAGTAGTGTTGGTTAAGTCACTGTAACTCAGGCCGCTCAAAGGCAGTGCAAAACATTTAGAAGTTTGATAAATATTTTTTAAAGATTAGCAATTGAATTTTTTCAGTGGCCTGAAACTTTGATGACAGAAAGTGATTTCCAGTGCTTACTGACTCATGTTTAAATGCAGGGTTCATGCCTTCTACACCTCAACAGCCTTAGTATTACAGGGTTTTTGAGGATATTATAGGGGTTCGGGCATAGGTCCATCACATGGCACCTTGCTCCTTCTCTGGGAGATATTTGGACCCTCAGCAGGGAAGCACTGGATGAGTGTTCCTCCCCTACCAAGCTTTGGGGTACCTTCAAGGTCCACTAAGACCTGCTGTGTCTAGGATGTTGTACTTATGTTTAAGTCTTTGGACCATGAGAACCAAGCTTTCCTAGATAGTTACTCAAGACAGCTGAGTCATAGTCATTTTCAGAGTTATTGGCTGATTTTAGAACAATTTTTAAGGTTTTTTTTTTTTTTTTTTTTACTGAATTCTTTTAGCAAAGTGGTAAACACTTTTACTAGAAAATGAGGGAAAATGCAGGCCTTTCAGTATGACAACAGGTGCCACCAGGAGTAGTTTGGAGCTAAGTGAGACAGACAAAGTGCTCTGCACACACTGGTGCAGAGGCTATCCCAGGGATAAGAACCCCAGGGAAGGCATGGGGAATTGTGATTTATTTCCAACCACTCTGGAGTGTGGTGGTGGAGAAGCATAGCACAGACCTCCCTGAGTAGAGATAATTCAAACTGGTACGTATAATCCAAGTAAATTTCAGCCTAAAATAGTATAGTTTGTGGGTTCTTAAATGCCATCTTTGTTTCCCTATTTTGGGGCCTTTCTGTTGCAAAGCACAGCTCTGTGCCTCTCATTAACCTAGTTGCTGCTCCTTGGATGGGCAGTACTCAGGCCTGCAGATACACACCCCTTAGGGTGTGGTAGGAGAAATGAGCTAGACCTAGCCTCAGTTATGTGCCTAAAGACAATGGCAGGCAGGGTCCCACACAGTAAAGGAGACCAGAAGCAATAATGTACAAGTGTCTACTTTCAGCATATTTGGCAACAGAATGAAAGGGGTGTGTGTACAGTGAGAGTAAAAAACATTTTTTTCTATAGTGGAGGTCACCAGATCTTTGTTGGGTATAAATTAGTAACTGAAATGAAATCCCTTCTGGCACCTGAATAGGCTGTGGACACTGCAAAGACAGAATTAGTCTGGCCAGCCCAGGATATAGAGTTGTCCAAGAACTGCCTGCATGTCAGTGACCCTCATAATATATGTTGACAAGGTGGAGCTGGTGCATAGAAACCATGGGCATTCAGAGGTCAGAATAAGACATGCAGTTAGTGTATAGAGGGACACGTCTGAGTACACCGTGGCATGAGCTGAATACTAGCTTTTAAGATCTGTGCTTGAAAATGAAGTGGAAGTGCTGATTAGGTAGAAGGTGGAGGGGTGTGTGAAGCTAGACAGTTGTTCATGTGTGTATTTTTCTTTCTTACAGATAGAATGCCTCAACTATATCCGAGTTCTGCAACCACTCGATGACAACACTCTTTATGTGTGTGGGACGAATGCGTTTCAACCGACGTGTGACCACCTGGTGAGGTTTGGACATATCTCATTTATACAGTACAGCCTGGTCAGCAGTAAAAGCAGAGTGAGGATCGAGGCAGGGATAAACCAGTCTCCACCAGCAAAACAATACAGTAAGAGTCACTCATGGCTAGACCAGTAGGGGTGAGACAACAGCTCAGGGCCCCTGCATCAGAATGCCCTGTTAGGCAGCACCAACACCAGGTTCATGTGCTGGCTCTCATCAGGCTGTTACACACCTCCTAGCCCCAATGCCCTCATCTTTCAGTCACAGTGACTAAGGGCACAGGCAGGGCTCCTGGCCCCACGGCCCTTGGTGCTGTGCAGAACTTGAAGTAAGAGGACATAGAAAACGTACTTTTGACAGATTTAAGCATCCGTATGTTATTATCACAGCATCTTCACTCCTTTTCATTTTTGTGTTTTGTGAAGAAGACCTGGCAATGATGTAGGTGTTGATCTGCAAGCAAAGCTACAGCATCTGCACCTGGATTTGTACTTGCCTGTTGTCTTAGCGTCTCTGGTGAATTAGAATCAGTAGAATACATAAAATGAGAGAGAGATAATTTATTTTCAGGGATTGGCTCATGCAGTTGTGGGGGCTGGCAAGTCCAAAGTCCATAGATCAGTCAGCAGGCTGGAGACTCATGCTGGCTCATGGGATTATGAGGGGTAGGCAAGTCGAAAATCCATAGGTCAGGCAACGGGCTGGAGATTTCTACAGGTTTGTGTCAGGATACGTAGACGATGGGAAGAGTGCAGAGTGGGGAGAGAGTGAGTTCTGACAAAATAACTCTCGATAATCTGGAGGTAGACCACACTCTAAGGAAACTCCTTTTTCAGCTGATAGATTGATTACATTACATTATGGAAGATGATTACATTATATTAGATTATGTTATGGAGCAACAACTAGCTTAGTCTTTGGCCAAACCACTTAGATCCGTAGCTTAACCAAGTTGACACATACAAGTAAACATCACATTCTTTGGCATGCCTACTCTTCTGGTTCTATTACACCATTCTGTATCTGCTGATGAGATTCCTGTTGGTGCAGATTGGCACCAGAGAGGGTATATCTTTTATTACTTAGGTGTGTCAGGCTCTTGTTTATCCCTATACTGAATACAGAAATCTTCCTTTATATTTAGGATCCTTAAGAGAGCAGCTTTCTCCACTCCTCATACTGACCTTTCACCACTTCTTTTTCACTTCACTTAACTGAAAACTAGGAAAGAGAGATTTGACTGTAATATCTCACTGGGAAAAATTATTTGTATTCTGATGAATGATTTTTGTAACAGTCACAAAGACAGGGAAAAGGAGCACTTTAAGTACATGTGAGAATTGAAAATGAAGCAGATTCTCTAATATCCATTTCCTATTTTAGCAAGCACCTAATGAAATATGTTATAGTGAAAAATCTTAGTTTGCTAGAATCCTAAATTAGTTGGAATTTTTAAAAACATTTTTTAACTCTGACTCAAAGGTAAATATCAAGACAAAGTATAGACTCATTAAGTTGGGTTAGAAAAACATCAGACTTGAACAGGCTTCTGGGGTGAGATTTATAGGGGGCCTCTAGAGGCCAGCTGGTAGCATAGTGGCTAAGGCACTTGACTGCTAACCAGAAGGCTGGCGGTTCAAACCCACCAGCCACTCCTCGGAAGGAAGGTTGGGCAATCCTACTTCCGTAGTGATACTGCCTCGGAAACCCAAGGAGGGGTCGCTATGAGTCGGGGCCGACTCGACAGCAAACAACAACAACAACAGAGGCCAGCAGTACAAGTTGATACAGGGGTATGTTTCTGGAATGTTTAATATCCTCAAGGACAGATTTTACTTCTTTTTGCTTAAGAAAATGTATACTAAGTCATATTTAAGCATCAAATTCTAGGTTAAGCCTTAATCAGAAGCCTCAGGTGGTTGTTGTGTTGTTAGGTGCTGTTGAGTCAGACGCAACTCAAAGCGACCCCTCCTTGAGTTTCTGAGGTGGTGTCACTACGGAAATAGATTGCCCAACCTTCCTTCTGAGGAGTGGCTGGTGGGTTTGAATCACCAGCCTTCTGGTTAGCAGTCAAGTGCCTCAGGTACTACAATAGAAACATAAATTCTATAGCGATGTCAGTTATTGAGTGAGGTAAAGGGATAATATATGTCATTTAAATCTAGATCTGTCATTTTCAATTTTTATAAAAATTTTCAAGCCTACAGAAAAGTTGATCATTTGTATGTATATTCACCACCTAGATTGCATAGATGGGAACATTTAGCCATATTTGCTCAAATCTCTGTGTGTGCATGTGCACACATGTGCATTCATGTGTATGCTAATCTACAACCCTTTTCAGTGCATCTCCTAAGAGTAATGACACCTCGTAAATTAACTCCAGCTTCATCAGTGTATCTACGAAATACTTTGGCAGTTCCCCAGTATCATCTAACATGTCCTTTCTAGTCCCTGTCCAGATGTCCCGATTGGCTCCCAGATGTCTCCTAGAGACATGATAAATTGATCATATTATGTAGGTTGTATTATCACCCAGTTCATCTTTCCTTATCAGACAGGTGAGAATCTGCATATGTTTTAGCTGGCATAGTAAACTTGGTTAACAATCTCTCTGTCTATGCCTGTCAGCCATTTCTCTTTCTGTGTCCTTAAACTCCAGGCAGATCAGCCTTCTCCCCTGCAGCAGGTGGGAGAGTCTGCCTTCCAAGTCTTTCCCAGCTGTTAGGTCATAGCGACCCCTCCTTGGGTTTCCGAGGCAGTATCACTACGGAAGTAGGATTGCCCAAC